TTCGTTTCATCTGTTCTGTGTTTCTGATGCTGGAATGGGAATATAGAATCTGTTTGGATTACGATCCAAGTTCCGGCCTTGATCACTCTTCTTTTAAATTCAAATTCCACTTAGTTACGGTAATTAATAATTTCTAAGAACACAGATAAAACGTCAATACGCACACGTCAGATTAGAGCTCGGTGCCTGTTAAAATGACATCGGCGTCAAATATCTGTTTCAGCTATTTTCTCCTTGGACGGCCATGGTCTCCTCTTCTTTATGATCAATAAATAGATTAATTCTTGAGGATACCTCTCGATGGTTCAATTCAAGACAATAAGATCACATGTGCCACAACGTATCATCAGTTACATTTACTGAAATGTTTACAGCCGGGATTCTGAAAGTTGATCTGGAATTCTTTACAGACACAAACTGTCATTGTAGTGGCAGTGAACCGTTTTCCATTTCTCCGACAGCTATGACGTGAGGTTTCGAAGGTCAGAACATTAAGGTCACAAATCAAAAGATGTCACTTACGAAGGACCTAAGCTTCCCTGGCGTAACGCTGGCCTTGTAATCCTGGGGTGTCGGGTTCGAATTTATAACTTGTGTTGGGCCAGGCCGTGGTCTAGGCAACACGGAGTTTTCCTCCGTGGCATCCCAACAATTACTCCATTCACACACAGAAGAAGGCAATGGCAAACCACTTCTGGATCATCTGTCAAGAACGTATATGAACAGGTCCCAGTCCGAGAAAAGGATGGAAGGATCCTGTTCATATGGACCTGTCATCAGACAGAACACTAAATAATAATAATAATACCTCTCCATTATGTGTTCATTTTATTCTCTTTGTTCAAAGATCGTACAAAGACAGGAACACTAGGAGATTCTCTACACCTTTAAACTTAAAATCGTAGGTCTTAAGGAAATGAAATATACATCATAATAAGTGCATTACGAGCTGTACACGTAGTTGAATGTACGACATCGAGGAATCACCTTTGTCGAGATTTTTTGTGTGTGTTTGGATCATTTCGCAGCGCGTTTGCTGCTTGTGCGGGGCGTATCTGAATAAAATCATGAGTTCCTGTGAACACTGTAACCACATTACGACTGGGAATATTTTTCGGCTCTTCAAAGTACCAATTTCCTCCTCTGTATGTCGCTTATGCCGTCTTCTTCCATAAAATGTTATGTGCTGTATTTTTTTGACATAGGAAGCTCTGATGAGGAATTGTTCTCTGCAATTATAGACGTCATCTACTCTTCTGTGGTACGACGTTTAGCAACAATTTTGGGCGTCAGCTTGTTTTCCTTCCTGTTCTTGTTTACAGCTCCGTCCGTCTTTTTATTATTTCCTAATTCCTTTTCTTTTTCTGCTCTTTTTCCCTCCGTCTTTTCTTATTCTTCCCGCTTTATCTCTTATCTTCTTTGTTTCTGTATTTACCCCTCGTCAGATATGAATAATCCAATCAAGGAGGAGAAGATGAGTGTGGCATATAGGGCAACTGGAGAGATGAAAAATAATTACAAAATCTTAGTTGGAAAACCAGAAGAGAGGAGAAAATTCGGAAGATTCATGTGTAGATGGGAGGACAATATTAAAAAAGATCTTGGGGATATAAATTTGGGCGTGGATTTGATTAATTTGATACAGGGTACGAGTTAATGGCTGGATCTTTTAGACACTGTAATGAAGTTTAAGATTGCATAAAAGGCGGGGAATTTCTTGCAGGCGGAGCGTAGAGCCCCGAGCTAGATAAATCTGCCGAGATCTGCGAGAAAAAGTTGAAATGTGGACTAAAGAGCAAGGAAGCGAAACAAACTTGGACAAGCATAAGTTTCGCATTTACCACATAGTTACTCTTATCCCTGATCCCCGAACTGGAAACATCATTTAAATGCATTATACATGCGTGCAACCCAACTTCCTCCAAGTCTGTCTGGACTTGGCAACGACACGTTGGGCACGAAATAGCACGGCGATCTCTTTCAGAGCAGCGCTGCAGCATCGGCATGGCATAAGGCCACGGAATTTCCAGGCCCTCTGGACTTGTGGCTAATGTTAAATTTCTTTGTCTGAATGCAGAGTGACGATGTAGCAGCAGTGTGGATCGTAGAGCGAGAGAGGCGAAAGAGTGGGGGACTGTTCAATTTTTTGTGTTCTGCGTCGCGGCAGATTTATTTATCTCAGATTCTACTATAATTCTTTCAAGGATTCTGATCCTCGGATCTAGTTATTTAATTGATCTTAAGAGTGCTACTTTTTAGGCTGGAAGGTGTTTGGAACTCCTCAGTAGCTGACTTTGATTATTACAGGTTCTGATTTTGCTATCGGAGTGCGAGTTGCTTACATAATAAGCTATGTATTTAGATAAAATTGATATTCTTAAAATTAATTCTTCCTAAGTTTACATGGTAACTTTTAGCCTATGGAAATTTATCTGAAAACAATGAAAATACCTAGCCTTAAGGCTCGCGAAATGGCGGGACATGTATGTTGTCGCTGATAACATCACACATCAAAGAGGACTGATTTAAAAGCAATGTGGTTCACTCATAGTATGGCAAATGCTGATATTAATACTATATATGATTTGAAGCTTTATTTACAAATGATTGTTATGAAGATTTCTTTGACGGTCAGCCGTATGAATGCAGAATTAGTTGCCGACGTTTCGAAGATTGTCCACTATTAGGTGTTGATGAGTTAACCACCGCCATTAGAGGGTGACATCATTTTGTTCTACAACTCTGAACCAAACATGTTCACTCTCGGTGGTATCCACTCAGTCTCTCTGTTTTAGTCACTTAATATTCTTCTGCTTTATGCTGATATAGCTTGTCCATCTGTTTGAATGTAACTTATTGTATTTATTCATACATTTTAGTGTGTGATATTCAGAGAGAATTTGTTTCTGCTGAACGAGTGAAACATTCTTAAACATTTGCCAATCCGACAGTGAATGTGGTTCTGATCCCATATTTGACTTTATGGAACAGTCTTTGTAAAGCTCAGGCAGTCAACAAATTTCCAATTTTTTTTTTACAGAAATCGGGAGTTCGTTACAGTGTTTACAAGAGTTCGTAATTTTTCCCTATCCTGAGCCAAATGAACACAGTCCACATGACCACAGAAGAATGTTTAAGATTCAGTTTTATATTGTGTTCCACCCAGTACATAACTTTGAAAAACAAAGTTGTAGAATATTCTTGAAGATTGTGTTATTTTGGCTGGGAAATCAGTGACAGAGGTAAGGGTAACTTCATAGCAAAACCAAGGAAACCATGAATCAAAGAAAAAAGTGGATGGGGAATTGATTGTAAAACAAGCAAGTGAACAACGACAGAGGCAAGTTCAGTTGCACTATTAGTCTTCCATGGCTGGTTGACCACTGGACTGGCTTGATGGATCGATCAGGAACGCTGTGAACAAGTACAGTCTCAGTCATGTAAACGGGTATGATTCGAATGCAGCGCGTGCACGCAACGGTGTGACGGCGGAAAGGGGAACCACAGCAGGTGACAAGTGACTTACTGAAAGCGAAATAATGACTGATCAAACGACTAGCCAACTAGCTGGACAGTTTGTATTCTGAGCGATTGATTGAGTGGCGTCGTGATTAACTGAGTACCTAGTTTATGATCCTTTTGGTCTGTTTGTATGCTTTTAAAATTTGTAGTCCCTCTTTTGCTATTTTGTTCTTAACACTTTCGTTTCGTTTCTGGGAGATGTCCGATTCGAATCTCGGCTATGAGGGCAGTTATTCTGAAATATTTTCGTAATTTTACACAGAAATTGCGGTCATATTCTGAGACATTAATCTAAGCTAGGCTTCGGTCTCTATCCTCCTCTGTTGTACAGAATCCAGGACCAAATTGTGCATTTCGCCTACGTCAGGCGTAGAAGGAAAACAGAACTTATACACTGTGTAAACCGTAAACATTACCGGCACAGGAATTGAGACTGTAAACTACAAAGTAGTGCCGTTTGGAAATAATGTCTATAGTATGGACAGTATATGCTTATTTTTCTGCTGTAGTCCCGATTACTGTACAAGCTCTCTAACGATATTTATTATATGGGGGATAAGTCCATAATGTTTACACGATCGAGAGACGACGCAGAGGAACGCAGGCGAACGCTCGTCTTGGAGTGGAGAGCCACCGAGATCGGCGAGGCCTTGCCGTCCTGATAAATTAACTTTCGACTGACTTACACACTGACAGCGTGACCGATTTGTTCTCCGTGCGCTGCTGTGCTGCGGGAGGTGGTATCTGCCCCTTGGGAGACGGCGGAGCTGTTGATGCGCGGGCAGTCGCTGAGACGGACTGCAGGGGGAACGAGTCTCGTCTCCTTCGGCTTACAACTGTTTCGACTGATTGCACAAGAAATTAAGTTTTCTTGTCCTGACCACGAAGTTAAGCATACGAGTGCATCCGTGTGCAAGCCTTTTTAATATTCTTCCAGGTCTTCGTGTTCAGAAGTTTGATGTTGAACGATGTTTTTTTCATTCCTCTAATCTGATCTAACTAGTTTTTGTTTATCATATACTAATTTATTGTCGATTAATGAATATAATCTTAATTTTGTGTATATTCTAGTAAATTATATCTTGTTACGCGTCTCCAGAATTAAATTTCTTCTTATCCAATCCATATCCAGATTTCACGTAATTAGATGGATAAAATCGTGCATAATTTCAATTTAGATTGCCCTGGAATTAAATTTAGTTTCAAGAATTCTAAAATTTGCAAACATTTGCTATCTCCATTACAAGTATTCAATATGAGGTTACATAATGGTATTTAACTAGCATTTATAGGGTGGTGGAGTAAACAAATAACGATGATCTGTACATGTAGCTCGAATCACGAAATAAACAAATACATTTTTATCAACAAAGTGTAATTAGAAATAAACCGCTGCTATTTTCCGAATTAAAGTACTCATTCCTTGCGTGCGATATGATTTGCTGTTTGGTTTTGTGACGCGCAGTTATTTGTTTCAGACTTCTTGCCTGTCGGAGCTACCAGACGTGGCTCCCCCTTTGGGGCTTCTGAGAGGTCAGAACGGCTCAGTACGCTGTAACGGACGGGCCGTACAGTGCCAGGCTCTGCAGACAGCGGCGGACTCTGGAAGCAGTTGCAGCAGTAAGGGCGACAGCTCCGGTGACAGCAAAGGTAGGGGCCACTAGAAAGATCGACAATATTCGAGTGTTGTCAACATCTGTGTCCATGAATAAAACAAGAGAAGTAATGAGATTGGTCTGAAAACTCCAGCACCACACACAAAGTTCACACATTTTCCATAAAAGAATACAGATACCTCATATTTAAATATTTATTGAGCGCGTTGGAATAGAATAACAGAAATTAGGATCAACAAATAACATTGTGCTTTTTCGACAAGAGTTTTATTTTGCAGGTCGTCACATACCAGACCTGTAATTTAGCTGTTTTCATGTGTACTATGACTTTTCTTCGGTGTTTTTCTTTACTTTTTAGGAGCGGGCTTTGATGTTTACATAACCCGAACAGGTAGGGACCGATTAGCTGGAAGGCCAAGAAACTGGTCCTTTGTCAAACGACTTCTTCCTAAACTGGGAATTTATGATTACCAGTGTTAAAAAAAACTAACTGCATATCCCTCACGAATATCCATGTGAATAGTGACCAAAACACTAATTAAATGGACACCAACTTATTCTGAACAGGGGAGACAGAATAAAAGAACCATCACAGTGAACTTAGCGATGAAAAGAAAATTTCAAAGAATTTAACTGGAAAGGACGAGGACAATGGTGAACAAAAATTGGAATCCTGTGAAAATTGTAAATCACTAAGAAGTATGATGTTGATGGTGTGATGTCTGATTATGTATTGAGCTGTTTTCACATGATTTTGGATAACGTTGTAATATATCACACATTTCAGTTAAAATTACATTTACGTGAATCAAAATCTACGACACACCAACATATTACAATTTTTTTTCCGTAGACCGTCATCAGACGTACATAATTCACCTGGAAACGATTAGGGTACTTGCTTTTTAATAGGCAGATAAAGTATCATTAGCAGTTAAAACATTTAAACACACTGGATATGTTAGGTTGTCATTCATAATCACTGTAAATTTGAGGCAATACATATATGATATTAGTTTATTTAACGACGCTGTTTTAACTGCGGATCATATGTTATGAACTGGAATGTGAAGACAGCTAAAAATTAAAAAAAAAGGATTTGACTTTTGTATGATTCACATTTCCTTCGAAGAAATTGAGGCAAAATACGAAAATCAGTCGGTTTAAAATTACGAAAATTTTTCTCTGGAACAGTAAACGCCTCGCTTTATTTATTTGTTTTTCTTGGTGGTTGTGGTGAAGATTATGAAGACGAAGAACTTGATAATATTAAGATGAAGGTGGTATATAAGGAGAACGCATGATGAAAGTGATAATGCTGCTACTGATGACGACGAACGAGAAGATAATTAAGTATGGCATAGAAGATGGTTAAAGTGATAAAGAAGAAAATGTTGATAATGATAAGGCTAGTGTTCATGAAAGTGATGAAGTTGACGAAGACGCTCGGTGATGCCTACTGCAGGGCTTCTGCTTATTAATTGCTACTGAATTCGTCATTTCCGCTTTCGGCATGATTCAACGTCGACATGCAAGGAGAGCTCATTAGTTACAAGAAGGAAATAGCGTGCTGTCATATTAGCACGAAGCAAGTATTGCACGCGTTTGCTGTGGGCATTTCGAGACTAGTGAAGATTATACTTAGTACTATCTAATTCCACTTTTCTTTACAACTCATAGATTCACCGTACAAATTTCACACCATTTATCACTGATTGTCACCATAGCACTGATAAATACTTTTTCTTGCCAAGATATGTACGAAATGTAACAAGGGTATAATTTGAGGTTTTCACAGCGGTGAGTATGAAGATTTCTGTCTTCTGGGTTGTTGCGCCGTGTAGTATGGTCGATGTGATCGCCCTGATGACGGAGGCAGTATGACCTCTGAAACGTTGGTAAACATCGACAAGACTACACAGCGCAACAACCCAGAAGACAGAAATATTAACAGAAGGGTGGTTAAAGTATTTGTCCTGTTTCAATTACAGGCGTTATACAAGAATGGAAATGTGTACTGTTTTCAGTATACTAAAGTTACAGAGGAATTCTTCATTCCACTTGACGGTCAGTGACTACAGCAGGAAACCAAGGAAATAACAAAATGTGTTAAATGTTGGTAACAATGTATATTTATGCCAAGCGATCAGCACGACTTCTGAGTACGAATACGAGCTAGCAACTGTCGCTAATTAGATATTTTTACGGCAGCAAACCCAAAATGATAAATTTCCCGGTTGCCTCTCAGAGTTTACAGCGTCGAGTTTGCATTCATCTTCTTTACAGGCTGTAATAAACGAACAGACCGTTTTTTGTTGCGTCGCGAAATCTCCATATTCCTTTTCTCTCTCACGCGTGCAGCTCCATATTTACATTATTTATGCACAGAGCTGTACTACATAATTGATGATGATGCAGGATTCATTGTACAGGCTGAAGTACCAGCTCCACCGACGCATACCTCAACACAATCTGCTGGTCCTGGGGGTCCAAATAATATTTTAAAGAGAATGAACTTCTGCATAAAACAGCTTTAATGACATGTAGACTTGTTTTCTTGTTTGCTGACGAAATAAAACCAAGGCCCATTCATATTCAAACACGCAGACAAACTCGTGGTTCGGTGATTAACCGTTCCGATTTATATTCTAGAGGTTTTGTTGGTTTCGATTCCAGTCATTCGAACGTAGTGGTCGAGTGGTTAGTGCTCCTGCTTCGTATTCGGAAGGTCCCGGGCTTCAATCTTGGCCCGGAAACTGCCTATCCTGATTGAAATTTTTAGTGATTTTACTCAGTACGTCCAGGCAAATACCTGGATAGTATTTTAAATTAAGCCACGACTGCTTCTCTTCACACCCTTTCCGATACACTAACATCCTTTAGTTCGTCGCTATGTAGTCTGAGCTACTGAAAAAGGCGTCGTTAAATAAACTGTGAATGAAGTATTAATTTTATTCAAAAATATAGTTAAAGAAAACAAAGAATTAATTATAGAATGCTAAGCAGCTGAAAGATGTTCCCTTTTCTGAACTTGATTAATTGATTGATTTATTGTTACTAATATGATTGTAATTGTTTGTGTTACGTGCTATTGAACAGGGTGTGAATATTATCAAAAATGGTAAAGAAGGGTTTGAAAAGTGGGACTCGTGACGTGTTCACGTTCCTGTGCGCGGAATTAATTTAGGTTTTTCACAGGTTACATCAGCGTGATAACCTTTTAGAACGCTACATACTTTGCAAAATAAGACGCTGCCGTCTGTCGACAGGGAATTTACAACTCGTCGTGTGTTACGTTCAGTGTCCCTGCCTTCACTTGGATTGTGTAGAGAAAAAGTGACAATGTTTTATACGTCTTCAGAGTTAAATAAATTAGTTAAGGATACGTGATATGTGAATGTATTACCTGACCGCCTCTCGTATATATTTCGTAACGGAATTTTATGAACTTACATAAAAATTATTTTAATTACTCTGTTTTTATGATTAATAATATTTTATGACTTTGCCTCTTTTTATTTAGACTTTCATTGTTTTGTGCGTTTGTAATTTACTACCGGCGCGTTAGATTAGTAGCTCGTCTAAAAGAATTATATATTCAGAAACATTTTGATGTCATCAGTAACAGCTGATACTTTTATACATATTTCCCACAGAGAACCAATAATTGGTGCACGGATCAGTGGGGCGACTTTAAATGGCTACCAAGCCTCTGTAGTGTACTCACACTTGAAATTGTGGTTTTGAGTGTTTTAAATTCTCAGTTCAAGCATTATCAGCAACAATTTCTGCCATCTGTATTAAAACGTTTCAACCTGTTTAAATTATTTGGGCTGTGGTGTAACGTACGAGCAAAATGGCGATGTTAACTGTAAGAAGGAATCTTAAGCGGAAAAGAAGAAAAGAAAACGAACGGAGCTCTGTAAGACCTTGATAGTGCCGGTGCTGTTGTAGCACGGACAGTAGAAATGAAAGGAGAATAAAAGAAAGACATGGCAAGGATTTAGGTGGTAGAAATGAAGTTCTTGTAGTTCTTAAGGTCGGTCAAGGGTTTTACAGTAATGGATAAGATCAGCACGGAACGGATAAGAAGTGAATTAGAGATGTTTAATAGAAATGAGAGGAATACAAAATCCGATGGCTAGGAGGTCTTCAGACAGTGAGACCTGGAAGAATGCCAAAACAAGCATGGATATATATATATATATATATATATATATATACACGCGCACACACCAAAAGGAAGAGGATATTTGGGTCGACTGCGTAAGCGATGGAAATCTGAAGCTGAAATAAAATATATTCCTGGTGCCTGAATTGAGGATTATATGATAATATTTCAGTCTTTTTTGGTAAAATCATCAAATTAATGATTATAAATTTATTTATATATTTCTGTACATAGTTCTGACTAGTACAAATCCCCAGTAATTTATATTTGTCAGATTTAACCTCAGTTTCTTGCGCTTTTAGCATGCTTGTAATTATTACCGTTTAAAAGTAGGTACACTTATAGTCATTTACGTACACGATTTGAGATGTATTATTTCATGAAGCCGAAATCTACATATTTGATTCGCGCAGTCGCCATGTAGTTTCACGTTGTTAGAGAATATGACCTCGATAAATTATTCATAATTTTAATATATTTTCGAGGCCAAGAAGCGATAAACTGATCGATGGTTGCAGGATAGAAGGATAAGTCGATATTTATGTCACTGAATGGGTGGGTAAATGGATGAATGAATGGGTTGGTGAGTTGGTGGATAGACAACTAGATAAATATTTGGATGGACAGAGGGATGTACGATTGAAGAGACCAGTGGATGTATGGACGTACTGGATACATACATATATATGGATTGGAATGTATGGTTATATGTCTGATTGGCTGAATGTGAACAAGCAATGAATGTGTAATCAAGTTCGGAAGTCTCTTTATTTCCACATCGACTTAAAACTCGTCACTCGTTCATTTCGCCTGGCAAACAATCTCCTCTCCTCTCACACCATTGAATTCTGCAGCGATCTCAC